ATTTCTCAATTCGAGAATAATTTCAAAGAAGTTAAATAGATTCATATGGAACATCATGGGCTTGCAATTTCCTTTCACCATCAACATGTCTATGATTTGGAGAATAAAAACAGTTCCTTTCTCTGTATCTCTTAGTTAGAAAATCAAATCTATCTTTCTGTTCTGTTCTACAACATGATGCTTATCCTTGATTTCTGGAGCAAGCGATTCTGACCTTTACCTTTTTTTGGTTCTTTGGAAGCATCACCTACTTCACCTGTGGATGGCAATTTGAATCCAGAATTCCGTAGTTCTTCTTAGTCCCTTTGTAAATGACACTTAGCCTCTCAAATATTTCCCTCTCTTTCATCCTAAGGCAATTCCTGCTTGATTGCTAAGGGTGTTCAGTTAGAAGGGACACAAACACGACATGGATGGCAATTTGAATCCAGAATTCCATAGTTCTTCTTAGTCCCTTTGTAAATGACACTTTGCCTCTCAAATATTTCTCTCTTTCATCCTAAGGCAATTCCTGCTTGATTGCAAAGGGTGTTCAGTTAGAAGGGACACAAGAATGACATGGCCGCACCCACTGAGGCACCTAAAGCATCAGCTACATGATGGGAAGTATGTCCTATATAACGGTTAACACATACATAGCACCGCTTATAATCTTTCTACTTCAATGTTATGGTGTCACTTTAATGAATTGTGCATTGTTTACTCAGATTTTAACTACATGTGTGAATTTGTGATTGGTTGAAATGGTCATTGATTTCATACATTTAACACATGTCAGTCGGGGTGTTGCAGTGTTCTATATGTATTTGGCTTTCTAATGTCATGTCTATTGAGGTGTTATTTTGCTGAATAAGTAGGATTGAACATGGTAAAATATGCACATGAATACGAGGAAAATGTACCATGATATTGATATCATCTTCTTCTCTTTTCTGCTTATGATTTAGTTATGTTTCAAAGTTGTTAGTTGCAGGATTTGTAAGAGGTATAAGCTACTTGCTTATTCGTTGAAGCTGGTCCGTGTTTTGATGGATTAAAATGTTGTTGCTCATGCAGATCAATAAATTGAAAAAAGGGCCTTTGAATGAACAGTTTAGTAAAGCCAAAGTGAAAGAGACCTACTTGACTACCGTTTTTCTTTGAAAGCTACTTGTATCATTAATTTTCATCTCTCGAACAGTTAACTACCAAATCACATGGTTTGTCAAATAAACTATCACAATGTAGGTTTATGTTTTATTTTGTATATCTGAAATATTAATGTTTTGGCTTTGCGTATTATCAGTTAAAAAAGAGAATAGAGCTTGTAATAGCCCAAAGATTTTTGCAAGGAGCCAATCAGTTCCTCCGCTAAAGATAAAAAAAATTCCAGAGTACATATTATGTCGGTCTAAGAAAGATGAGGCAAAGGGATCTGAAGTAATGTCCAAAGATAGAGGCAAAGAGCTTGTGAAGTTTCATGCTGTTCATGAGCCAAACCATTTTAGACGATAACATGTGTTTGGAAGAATGACTGTGTTCAAGAATTTGTGGACTTGCAGGTAAAAGTCACATTCGAAAATATGCATCGTTTGTCAAATAAACTATCACAGTGTAGGTTTATGTTTTATTTTGCTTATGTTGAAGATTAATATTTTGGCTTTGCATACTATCCAGTTAAAAAGAAAATAGAGCTTGTAGTAGACCAAAGATTTTTTCAAGGAGCCAATCAGTTCTTCTGCTAGAGATAAAAATCTTTTCCAGAGTAAAGATTATGTCGGTCTAAGAAAGACGAGGCAAAGAGATCTGAAGTAATGTGGGTCTAACAAAGATGAGGCAAAAGAACTATAAAGTATCATGCTGGTCATGAGCCACCATTTTAGAGGATAACTTTGTATGGAAGAATGTACCATAATTGTGTTCAAGAATCTATGGAATTACAGGTAACTGTCATACTCCAACAATATGCTCAGTTAGCTTCAGAAAACTTCCTTTAAATTTTCAACATGTGGGATTGAATATCTTACAGTTATAAGTCCGTACATGCATACTTGTATTAAATTATCCTGGATTTTCTGTTCCTTTAATTTCTTTCTTGTGTTGTACTATAGGGTTAATTGTGGATAGACCCCTTCAAGTAGCGCCGTTTTGAACTTACTACCCTTCCAATTTCATTGTTATGGATAGACCTCTTGTAGTATCATATATTTTGAACTTACTCCCCTTTTAGTTTTATTGTTGCCGGTAGCTACCCCGTGTGATTTTTTTTTTTTTTTTGAAATCCGGTTCTTACTGTTCACAATAAGATGTTGTATCTCCTTTAATTCCTTTTGAACTTACTGATAAGTATAAATGCAGGGAGCGAGCTAGAGGCACACGTCATGATCACTCTCCACAAAGCTCGCTTACCCCACCTCATGGTGATAGGGAATACAGGCCAGAGCAACAATCCCCCAGCCCTCGGAGGAAGGAGAGAAGCCTGTCTAGGTCTCGATCTTACAGGTTAATACCATCTTTTCTCTCGCTTATTGCACATAACCGCCTCATCTGTACTTTTCAGTTGCAGAAAACACCTCTCAACTCATTTGTAAGCACTTAGCTCCCCTTAATTCACGAGGAGAAGGGGGTGTTGCCTGCAATTAATCTTTCTACAAATAGCAATCCAGAGGTGCTAAGTGCTTGTGAATGAGTTGAGGGGTGTTGAGAGCAGCTAAAGGTATAGATGAGGGGGTTACATACAATTTACCATTTTTTTGGGAAACTCAACGTCTTACTCTGATTTCTCTGTTGGGCAGTCCTCGGTGATGGCCCACGCCACAATCGAGCAATGTGAGCTGGTAGGTCTGGAGATGGGATATGTTACCTATCCTTCATTAGACGTAATGCTATTATGTTAGCATGTTTTGGTTATGTAAACTATTTAGGATCTTGAAGATGAATTTGACATGTTGATATTCTGTGAAGTTGCATTTTCATTAACTGGCCTTTTTGAATTTGGTATGAAAGTTGTTTTATGGCCTTTGTGCAATTTATGTCTTCTGTTTGTAGCCACCAAATATGCTGGTCCCCTTGATTTTGTATTGTGATGGATACGTTCTTTTTTTCCTCTTTTCTTTTGTTGTTGTTGTGTTTTGGTGTGGGTGGGGGTGTTGTGTGTGTGGTAACCAAGCGCGATCTTTCGGTTTTAGGTAGCTACAACCTACAGCCAAGAGTTGTGCAAAATCATATGAAAAACGAATCCAAATGTGAGGATAGAATGTCAGGGAAAATTTGCAAAATAGTCCGTTTTTGTTAATTTAGTAAAATAGATTGTTTTGCTAAATAATTAGCAAAATAGACTTCTTTTGAAAAAAAAAGAGGTCGGTTTTGAAAAATAAGACTCAGAAAACATACGGGACTACTAGTCCCGTATGTTTAGAGCCAACTTAATCACGGATTAGTGACTCAGAAAACATACAGTTTAGTAGTCCCGTATGTTTTCTGAGTTCATCTTAATGTTTTGTGAAATTTTCTGAGTTCACTAATCCGTGATTAAAACATATGTGATTATTAGTTTCGTATGTTTTCTGAGCTGTTTTGCAAAATAGACTTTTTTTTGACCTGTTGGTCAAAAAGATGTCTATTTTGCTAATTATTTAGCAAAACGGTCTATTTTGCTAAATAATTAGCAAAAACGGACTATTTTGCAAATTTTCCCATGTCAAATTGGTTTCAAAAATGTAAAAGATGGAGTATTCCATAAAATGTCTACTTACGTAGTTGGCCTGTCCATATTGCAATTTTTAATTCAATCCATACCATCCCATTAAGGGGCACATTTGTATCCCTTTTGTGGATATTCTCCCCAGGAACAGTATAACTTTAATGCAAAGTTTTCTATGGCAACATTACATATTTATCTACGGCAACATTTCAAAGTTCGATTTTAGAGTAGACGCAGATACATCCGCAGGCAAAGATCTAATTTTCATAGGACAAAACATTAACAGATTCCTATCGACTAAATACTCATATTGGTATTTTAATTTCATCCTATTTACTAAGAAGGTATTTTAATTAGGCAAATCTGCTTTAAAGCATTTTAATTGGTTTAACTTACCAACAAGGTTCTTTTTCTCGTCGGCGACCAGTTTTCCGGCGAGAGCTCGTCACGTGCGTGGCATGTGATGACTTAAACTGTTTTTTAGCTGCTGATGTGGCACGAATTTTCTGACGTTGCGGTATTTAAAGGTGGGAATTAACCCTCTAAAAATCCTAATTCATCAGAAATAGGACAGATCCGTACCACATCAGCAGCTAAATAACAGTTTAAATCATCACGTGCCACGCACGTGACGAGCTCTCGTCGGAAAACTGGTCGCCGTCGAGAAAAATGGCCTTGTTGGTAAGTTGAACCAATTATAACGTCTTAAAGCAGGTTTGCCTAATTAAAATACATTCTTGGTAAATAGGGTAGAATTAAAATACCAATATGGATATTTAGCGGAAAACAAGCTCATGTTCCTTTTAAGCTGGCAACATACATTACTAGTTCGTCCCCAGCTTGTTATTCTGTCTTTTTCTTGAACTTCACTGAATTAAAAGCTAGTTGGTATTGCTTTTTTTATAGTGCTTCTGTTTATTTTTTCAAGAAGATGGCAATAATGATATTTTTGTGAAAATTTTCTAGCATTTTTTATTAAAATTATTTCTGCTTTTAATAAGTTGCTTCTATAAGTTGCTTTTATAAGCAACTTAGTATAAGGTCCGGTAATACCAAATTGGCAAGTCTACTATGGCAATGCAACTTTTTTGTATCACTATTTCAATCACTTCTCTTCGAGTGCGTCTACTTTTCTTTCAGCAGACATGCCGCTTTTTCAACAGATTATATAAGATGCTATTATATAGTTGCTTTTTTTTAACTACCAAACTGCTATTTTCAACAGACTATATAAGTTTTCTACTATAAGTTACTTTTTTTAAGGAAAATTGAAATTGATAACCATCAAACCATACTTCATATAGTGTAGACTCATTCAGGAAATAACACGGGAGAAACAACTCCTTTTCACTAACAAATAACAACAGATATTCTCAGTCATCGACAAAAATATATGTAAATATAAAATATTAAGTTTGAACGGATTTCCAAGGAAAAAAATTTGAAGATACAATGCCGATTCAATATTTGCTTTGAGCTGTGTTGTTCTTCCCTCCATATGGACGTTACTTCCATATACCCCCGCAAGCCCACTTAGAAAATAAAAAAGTTAGCAAATAACACACTATGTCGGTCTCTAGGCTGCTTGAAATATGCATGTGCACAAGGAAATCGCCGCTCACTCATTCTGGATCAGGAGAACCACCAGGGACCAACTGCAAAGAACAACACTTCATGCATGAGCTAATCGTTGTCATCAAAAGCATCATCATGGTCACAATAGAAAAGTTGCGTCCTGTGCAGTGTAACATGTGTACATGTTTTTAGCATGCCTATATATGAGCTTCCTGTGGAGTGTAATATGTGTACATTTTGTCTAGCATGCCTAAGTATGAGATACAGCTAGATTTGTATCCAGTATCATGTAATATGCGTGCAATAGTATTGGGCTGGGTTGAACATGTCGACTTATGCTGCCACATACAAATAAGTAATTAGGCGATTTAATCTCCAATACTAGGTTTCCTAAAAGAAAATAGAAACTCTTAGGCTGTGTTTGGTTTGATGGAAAGGGAGAGAAAGGAAAGTAATGTGGAAGAGAAAATGTATTTCTAGTGTTTGTTTTGAAAGAAAATAAAAAGGAAAAAGAAAATAAACTTTCCTGTTGAAAAATCACTATATCTATTTTCTTTCCCCATTTCTCTCAGCTGCCCTAGTGAAAACGAAGGAGAGCGACGGAAACGCCTTGCTCGTCGCCTCCCCGATCTCTTGCGTCTCCCTCCAAAACTCGAGTCCTCGTTCTCTCGTTCACTCGCCTCCTTGTTCTCTCCTCTCTTGCCTCCTCGTTCTCTCCTCTCTCTCTCTCTCTCTCTCTCTCTCGATCCATGGAACCCCTCTCGACGCTGATCAAACTCTCGACGCCGATCAAATCCCATTCCGACGCCGATCAGATTTGCTGAAGATTTGAATTCTCATCTCAGATCTGTTGAGGTAATTTTTTTAGATTTTTATGGTATTAGATATTATAGTTGCAACTAGTACAATTGAGACTTCAGCCCTTATTTGATCTATGTTGTGATCATAGCTAAGGTGGACGTATTGATTTTAACCTCGCTTTTTTGGGTATTTTCTTGGTTATTGTTGATTATTGAGTATTATCTGGTTTTAGTAAATTAATCTGAAACCTAAGCAAATCAAAATAACTGATACATTACTTGGTTCTTTTGCTCAATATCCTGAAGAGAGCTGTTGCATTCAGGATTCAACTAAATAAAAGTCAATTGCTTCTTTTGCTTAATATTTTAAGGGAGCTGTTGTTGTATTCTAAACTTGGGATAAAGGGCAATGGAGGAAGCTTTTTTTGAAGTAGTAGTTGTTGACATTATCCACTTGTGATTTCTTGCAGAGGTTCACTAATGTCTATTGACATTACGTCTTTAATTAGTATCAATATTCAGAATTTGTATATATAGATGATTTGTAGATTCAACCTGTACATTGGCAACTTTGAGTTTTGGGGTATATTATCAGAAACGTTTGAGTATGATTAGGATTGATATAAGAGGAGTTTTTAGTATTTGAAACTTTAGGAAAGAACATTTGTTTATGAATTTACAACATTTCGGTGCCATCCATGAATTCGAGCTCGTAATTTATTTTTGATATGGATTTTGTTCTGTAGATGTTGGGTTGCGGTTTAATCTGAAGCGATGAGTCGTTTGATGTTATTTTTGATTTATTTACAGTAACATAGTATGATTCATTGTCTGAATTGATGTTTTCGTTTGGTTTACTCGCAATTAGGCTTGTATTTGGTGATATATTTGATCTTTTCGGAACCGCTCCAGATTCAACTGCAGGTTTCTCTTGGATCTCTCTGTCAACATGAATCCAAATTCATCCGAGGTAAATTCTACTCATATTTTTTTGTTGGTTTTGAAGTTTAATTTGTTGGTGATATTTTGCTCATATTTTTGTTCATACTGTTGATGCATGAAAATACCTTCCATTTAAGAAGATATTGTTTTGGGTTGTGGCCTTCGTTGTAATTAAGTGTTGTAATTATTGCAACAGTGCGGCTGAGGTATTTAGAATGATATGTGCTTGTATATTGTTATAATACCCTCTTGAGATGCGTAACATGTATGTTGTTATAATAGCCGCTTGAAGGACGTTTAGTCTTTTTTAGCGTGGCTTCTGTTTCCTTTCTATACATATTTACATGCTACATAGTTCGAATGTTACATGCTACATAGTTTGGCAGGAAACAAAAAACTGATTGAAATAATGTGACTTTCTGCGTCAGGATATGTTATTTCAGTCACTGGAGCATTTAGTGTTGGATAGGTTTGGGGTCATTTCCATGTGGATCTGTTGAGTTCCATATTTATACATGTTTATTAGCTATTTGCATCTTTGATCTGGTGTGGTGGACTGGATTTCCATTATAATCTATGTAAATCATGTCATATACATGTACAGGAAGTTAGAAAGTATGTATGCCTTAGCAATGGGAACGATTATATCACTCCTGAGGAGCTTTACCTATATTATATTCCTGTGACAGCTTAGTTTTGTCCAGTGCTTTAATACGTGGATCTTGAACTCATTAAAGTCAAATAATATCGAAATGATTACATTATGTCTAAATGATTACACTCTCGTATGATATTTTTCTGTGTGCAAGGAAGGGTAATTGCTCCCTTAGTTCTATTATTAATGTAAACTGTAAAGGGAACTCATATGACTAGAGGCTCAAGAGGGCAGCTTTGTCTGCCGCATTCTACGTCATTTGGAAGGAAAGGAATCAAAGATTTCATTTTCAGATGTTTGTATCCAGAATGATTGATTTCTATTGTACATTCTCATATAGTGTGAGTTTTACACTTTTGGGCATTCAAGTTTCTATCCATGTTTATGCAGACTAATCTGTAGCCACAGAAGCTTATGGCTTATTCTCATATATTTAATCTGTAGCCACAGAAGCTTATGACCAGGACTCATAATCGCCTACTTAACAATTTGATTACCCATACTCTATTAGTTTAGTTAGATTAACAACATGGACATATCAGTTATAAATGGTTAGTCGAAGGTTTCAGTTTAATATTTTCATGATTGTTGTTTATGATTGTGACGTGCTTACTATAGAAAGTGTTTGAATTTGTAGACAAAAGAAGATGATGAATGGGCTATACAAAGGAAAAAGATAAAATGTTCAGCAGGGATTGTGGCTGCATATGTAACATATGCAGGTGCTATTATGGCAACTAATATCTACCAAGTGGAGTATATAGATAGATCAATCTTAGCTCAAAAAGATGAACATAGGAACTTACTTATGGAGCAACTAACTCAACAAAGTGATAGAGATTGTCGTGAACAACTACGCATGGGAGTTAATGCTTTTGCTAGATTGTGTCAGTTGCTTAGGGAGACGGGACGTCTTTATGATAATAGACGCAGTTCTGTAGAGGAACAAGTTGCTAAGTTCCTTCAAATTCTTTCTCATAACTGGAAGAATCGAGCAGTGAAGTTCTATTTTATGCGTTCGGGTGAGACTGTTAGCCGCCACTTTCACAAAGTATTAGAGGCATTACTATCGCTTGAGGATCAATTTATTAAACAACCAGATGGCTTCGAAGTTCCACTAGAAATTCAGACAAATCATAGATTATGACCCTATTTCAAGGTAAAATATAAAATTTTTGTAATAAATATTACATCATGATAATAATAGTCAAGTTGCTAATCACTTTGTTAATCTATTATAGAATTGTATTGGCGCAATTGATGGATCTCATTTTCGAGTGAAAGTGGCAAAAGAAGATACAAGAAGGTATCGAGGCCGAAAAGAATTTCCAACTCAAAATGTGCTTGCCGCTTGCACCTTTGACTTGAAATTCACATATGTTCTAGCTGGTTGGGAAGGGTCTGCTTCAGATTCGCGGGTGTTGAACAATGCATTAATACGACAAGACAAAATATTTGTTCCTCAAGGTGATAACTCTTATGTCCAATCATTTTCAAGATCAGATAAGACCTTGTTTACATAAACACATTTTAACTGTTAAATTTTGTTCAATTTTAGGAAAATATTATTTAGTTGATGGTGGTTTTATGCTGAGGCCGGGATTCCTTACACCATTTAGGAGCACGCGTTATCACCTCAAGGAATATTCAACAAGACAACCTGAAAATCCTCGTGAAGTGTATAACCATCACCACTCTTCACTGCGAAATGCAATTGAGCGTGCTTTTGGAGTCTTGAAGAAGCGATTTCCAATCTTGGGTAATGGAACAGAACCTCATTATCCAATTAAAACACAAAAAGATATCATTTATGCATGTACTATTCTACATAATTTTCTAATGGGTGTTGATCCTGACGAGGGGCTTCTTGAACAAGTTGATCAGGAAGTTTTGAACCAAATGATAGATGTTGAAGCTCATGTAAATGATAATGAAGAGTATAGACGAGGAGAGATTCTAAGGCAAAAAATAGCCGATGATATGTGGAGAGATTATTCGAAATATTTTCATTCTTCAAATAAAAAGTAAATGTGTTTTATTTGCCCTCTGCTAATGTTCCTGTGCAAAAAAGTTTCAATCTGGAAACAATTGTATCGTCTATAGGTACTGGTGATGTAGGACAGAGAAGATGGATATTTGCTTAACTGAAACATTGAGAGAACAAGTGCACAAAGGGCAAAAGCCCGATCGAAGTTTCTCATATCATGTTTATCAAGCAACATGTGCAGAGTTATATGCTAAATGTGGAATAAAGGTTGAAGTGGATCATATTAAAAACCGATTAAAGACACTTAAAAAAGATATGGGCGTATTTCAAGACATGCAGAATTCTTCTAATGGATTTGCATTTAATCGAGTGACAAGGATGATGGATGTGGAGCCAAAAGTTTGGGAAGATTGCATAAAGGTACATTGGATAATTAGTCATTTATTAATTTTGGTAATTGTTCTGACTCATGAAAATGTTCGTAGTAAAAAAAGTTTAAACACAATGCTCCAACACTCGTATAAGACACAATTGGAGAATACTGAGCTTATGGTATTGTCTAGACTTGTCCACTTCATAACAATAATGGGGCCAAGCTCTGGAGTTGTGATCATAGGTGGTGAAGTCGGACGCTGGAACAATGGCTAAATACACTGGGAAAAAAATAGAAAAAGAAAAGAACTTCTACTGAGGATTATATGAATGAAAATCATCTGTTCCTCAGTTTTTTGTATTTAAGTTGGTAATCCTCCAAATTAGTATTCTTTTCATGAATATCTTTAGAATTTGAATACATATATAAATATAAATGTATTAATAGGCACATCCTGACTAGTTGTTATATTAGTTTGACTATTTTGTGTTTTCTTTGTGCCATTGAAAAGACTTATCAATGGTGGAAGTTGATTCTTTATCTATTAATAAGCACATCCTGGAGCAAAACAATTTCGTTACAAACCTGTACCGTGTTTTGAACACTTGCAAATTATTTATGGGAAAGACAGGGCTGTTGGTTTAGCTTCTGAAACTATCAAAGAAAGACGTGTTCGCATAGAAAATGAAAGAGATGAATCAAGTTCTATCAATACAAATCAAGATGATAGAGAAGCTGTTCAAGAGAATGATATAGAATGCATCGGCCCTTCAAAAAGTAAAGAACAAGATCCCAAAACCCGTTCTGCAACGGGAACATCTTCAAAGGTGATATATAAAAGAAAGCATAGTGCCACTAGCAATTTGGGTGAAGAGCTTGATGGGCTAAAAAGCGGAATGGAGTCAATTGCTTCTGCAATTTGGAAGATCGGTCCTCGTTTTTACACAGAAGGAGAGATATTTGAGGAGTTTTCAAAAGTTGAAGGGCTCAATGAGGACGAACAGCTTGTAGCCTACGACTATCTTACCGAGGATGCTGCTCGAGGAAGAAACTTTATTGGGTTACCAATTCATCAGAGGAAAAGATGGTTGGAGATTAAGCTTGGATGGGCATCACACAATCTTGGTATCGGTACTAGGAGGTAATTTTACAATGAAACATTCATTTGCCTAATATAAAAGCCTTCTTATTGATGACATCTTTGTTATTCAGTGGACTTGTAGATTTTTATTATGATTCATGTATCGTCACCGTGACTTTTATTAGTGATAAAGATCACCAGACTTCGGTGATTGACTCGTTTGAAGCTCTTCATATTGATGGATGACCAACTTGTTCAATTATGTCACAAGTTTGTATCCTTATTGCATGTTTATATTCTACTTATTTGAATTTTTATTTGAATTAATTTCAGGGAATAAAGGATGTGAGATTGATGTCTTGATGGGCTCACTAAAGTCAAAAACCAAGGACTTCGGCATATTTTTCTCTCTTTGGTTAAGATTCTCTATATGAAATAAAATTGATTGTAATAGACTTTGTTGGTTAAGATCTTCTATATGAAATTGATTGTAATAGACTTTGTTGATTAAGATTTTCTATATGAAATTGATTATAATAGAATTTGTGACTAGAAATGGATTCTAGTTTATATTAGGAATATCATGACATTTACTTTAGACAATATTACATTAAACGCTGGGCGTTTCCAGGCGTCGAACTTGACGCCCAGCGCTTAGTCGCCTAGGCGGACGCCTAAGCGGTTTCTGGGCGTTTTTTTTTCTTTCTTCATTTAAGTGGTGGTCGATGAGGTTTTGCTGAAGGTCGGAGGAGGTAGTGGAGGTGTTCATATTTGGAGGTTAATGGAGTTTGAAGGACGTGTAGGCTACGACACATAAAATCACAATCAAGGCCTACAGGGTACAATACACGTAAACAGACAATGCTCCCCTAAACGTTCGTAAAATCTAGGTGGGCAGCCTAAATACCGCCTAGGCGCTAGGCGCTAGTTAGGCGGCCTAGGTACCGCCTAGGCCTAGGCGTACGCCTAAGCGGACTAGGCGAAGGTTTTTTAAAACAGAGACTTTAGATTTGTTTTGGTTCTTTCATTGACATTTCTTTCTGAAAATATTATGTGTGAGAAATGTTGTTTTTTAATTAGTGGAATTGTGGTTGTGCTTTTGCTTGTTAATATTATGAGTGAGAATTGTTCTTTAATTAGTGGAATTGTGGTTGTGTTTTTGCTTGTTAATTATTTTTTATAAATTATTTAAAATCTAAATCTAATTCCAAAAAGTATGAATTAATTTATGTTGTGATAATTTTCTTCCTCATTTTCTCATAAAGGTAACCAAACAAAAGAAAATTATTTTCATATGAATTTTCTTCTAACTTTCATTACAATATTCTTTCTAACCAAACAATAGAAAGAATATCATTTTTCATTACAATATTCTTTCTAACCAAACAATAGAAAGAATATCATTTTCTTTTCTTTTTCTTTTCCTTTCCTTTTACTTTCTCTTTCTTTTTCTTTTCTCGAAAGAATATCATTTTCTTTTCTTTTTCTTTTCCTTTCCTTTTACTTTCTCTTTCTTTTTCTTTTCTCTCCCTTTCTCTCAAACCAAACATAGCCTTAAAGAGAAGCTATATTTATAGCATATCAATGAAATCCACAGTTTCCCCATCATCATAGCAAGTGCAAGCATAATGAACAGCAGCTCATTGCTGAGGTTAAAATTGGTACCAGCTCTTACAGCTTTAGAAAGTGGACTAGATAATGAAAATATTCGGAAAGTTGTGTTTACTTACAATGGCAATGTTGTTTCCATTCAGTAATATCTGGTCTAACTTCGTGATCCTGCGCCCTTCAGACGTAATTTCACTAAACCAAGAAAAATAAACATATTGTTTAGTAACAGACTAGGAACAAACTGAAAAGCAATTCATGTTTGCATGTGAACATATCTTCAATTGATTCAGGAAAAATATTCCACTCGCACATCCACAGAATTAGGAGAAAGAAAAAAAGAAAAGAGAAAAAGGAAAATGAAAGAAAGAAATATGATAAAACAAAAATGCATCTGTACCTTCAAATTTATCCAGCATATGGACAGATTTATACAATACAAACCTTGATTCACACCATAATGAAATTTATGAACTATAGTGGCAGCAATATAAAAAACTGAATGTAGGCGTCAAAAAAGTGCTTACAGACATCCTAACACCACTCAAGACAACATAGAAGAACGATATACACGTCATCAGGCAACACACTGCAGCGCGGCAGGACATGGTGCCGCGGCTAAGGCGCGACAGCATATGACGCCGCGGCTTAGGCGCTGCAGTCTAGGGTGCCGCGGCTTTAGCGCGACAGCTTAGGGTGCCGCGGCTTCGGCGCGACAGCTTAGAGTGCCGCGGCCATTATAGAAGAGTGCTGTGGTGGTTGTAAGTCAGTTATTCGATGATTATTTGAAGCCCACGTGGCGGCATATCAGAGATAGAACGTGTGCTGACGTGGATAGGCAGTTAAACCACGAAAAAGGTGGTTAAAAGTCGTGGGAGAACAGTTTCAAACACGTACGAACGTGGGTGTAACTGCCCCTTTAGCCGCGGCAGTGTCGACTGCCGCGCTCTTTGGCCGCGACAGTGTCGACTGTCGCGCTTTTAGCCGCGACAGCATCAACTGCCGCGCCTAAAGAGGCAGTTGTTGATCGGCTATCTCTTCAGTTATCGTCTAAGGAGGCTATAAATACCCCCCTATGGTCATCATTGACGGGGGCTGAGCATTTTCCAGAGAGATTAGAGCAGAGAGCCTTTAGTTTTGGTGAATTAGAGCAAGAGAGAGAGTCTTCCTTCTTCACAAACATCCTCAAGAAGCTTCTAGCGAGTCCTAGAGATCTAAGCTCAGACTTGATCTTTGGAAGAGTGAACATCTTACATCGATAAGATATTCGCTTCAAATTCTTACTTCGATAAACGAAGGAAGAATCATTAAACCCCTCACGGTTCAATCAGAATCTGTGATTTGGTGGTCCACGAGTCAAAGCGCTCCCGGCACAGGCAAAGATCCCACGCAAGCAGCGATCCAAACAACGATCCTGCGTTTGTTTCTAAAAAGTTGTAATTTTCCTTTTGTTGTGTAAAAGAAGTCTTATAAAAAGACTATCTCTTTTGAATTTGTTGTAATCGACCGAAGATATAATGAATTCCACAACGAAACCAACTTTTGACGCAAACAAGCTGGCGACCACAGTGGGAGCCAACGGTCCTTTTGTTGTGTAAAAGAAGTCTTATAAAAAGACTATCTCTTTTGAATTTGTTGTAATCGACCGAAGATATAATGAATTCCATAACAAAACCAACTTTTGACGCAAACAGGTTAAACATGCAAATAGTTTCCTTTAAACCAAATTTGAGGAATATCTCTCATCATCCTCTTCAAGATCTTCATTGTCTCACAAGTACAAGAGGATCTCACAATTGAGGAAGACTTACATGCCAAAGAAGGCACAAAATGAAGACTCTCGCCTGATTGTTGCTGAGAATTTTACTCACAACACCTCTGCTCACAATGGCTCTTATCTAGTTAAAGAGTCACCGAATCAAAGCCCACCAACACTGACGAAAGGCCTTGGAACAAACCGACGGGGTTCGCTATCACGCGGACCTAGAGTCGAGGAGACATCGAGTGGTTCAGTTGTCTCAACAACCAATCACTCATATCTCTGCTAAAATGACGACGGATGAATGGACTTTTGTCAAGAGGGCTCGCTCGACCCTCAAAGAATGTATACAAAAACGTCGTGCAAACGCTGCTCATGCCCGAGCTCTCCTACAACAAAGACGAGAAAGGAGGAAGGAAACGGTGGCCAAAGAACCACCGAAACTCCGCCAAGTTTGGATTCCGAAGTCTGGACTTATGCAAAATCAGCATTCGGAGCCCGTTAAGACTCCATACCCGCAAGGGGGTGGTTTTAGACGTGCGACTCCCGACATAACCTTGGATCGCTCAAAGACGGGTGGTTTTAGACGTGCGACTCCCAACATAACCTTGGATCGCTCAAAGACAAAAATAAATTGTCCTGAGAATGCCAACAAGGTTTTACACCCCCAGAAGAAGACGCATTCACCAAATGATATCGTCATACCTGGGAGGTCATGCCAACAGACGATACGATTTTTTGGCAATCATACCGATGAGTCGTATTATCAAGTTGGGGTTGTGAATAATTTTCGAAAGAGAGTTATTCGAGAAATAAACTCTCATTGTTCCTGTGCGCGACTCGTTAAAGCAGCATTATCAGAATGTAACTGTTTTAAACGAGAAGCCATCTCACGAAGAGTCTCTGTATTGTCAAAGCCTAAGCCGAGACATTTCCGCAAGAGAAAATCAGCTGCCCAAGATGATGAATTCCCTGAAGTCACCATCAACGTGGCTGATAAAAGAAAGTCAAAGCGGCATTCAAATGACTCAAATCCTGACTTTTCTCCCAGTGGAAAAGTCAATCCAAGAATTGCTCAAAGGATGTCTCGACTCCAATTAGGAGCCATCAGACGCAGAGATTACAAAAGAATGCAAGAAGGAATGTCCTCGGAGGATGAATTCTCGGACACTTGTTCTGCAATCACTTCTGATGATACAATGTCTAGCACGGGACAAACCAGAGAAGTACTCACGATCACCTCTGATCAATTTGCTCAAATACTTCAAGAAGCTCTAGCCAAACAACGTGAAGAAATTAGAGCCGAAGTGAAGACAGAAATAGAGTTAGCTATCCAACAAATGAGAGAATTGCTAACTCAACGGCCTCAACCTCCTGAGTCCAGTCAGCGAGCTGAATCCAGTCGCCACACTCAACAGAGAGATTGTGATGACGGCTCAAAGTAAGAAGACGGTATTGCAGCATTCTTATCGAGGGAATGGATTCAATTACGCATACGGCAAAATTCAAGCATGATTAGCTTTCCCGTTGACGGGAAGAACTGCGCCTAATTCAGCATTTGATTTTTCAAGTCTCATTTGGTATGATCTCCGGCAATCAGCTTTAATGGTCCGGTCATTCGTTGCACCTTCGCGGTCGGCTTCGATTGGTAACCGGACGGCTCAAGCAGGGAGGCATCAATTGGCTGGGAATGAAATAGAAGAAATTTGTTCATCAGGCAACTTCTCGATGATGACACCGAAGTGTCAATCGGAAACCTTCTGGATGAAAAACAAAAAGACGGGGAGTCTTCGACATTTTGTCATTCTCGCTCCGTAACAAGGGCAACTGAATTGCAGAGATCCTGTTAAGAGGACTTTCATTCTGGCACACATGCCAAAATAATCTCTCTATCGATGTTCTGGACTCTGGGGGTCGTACATCCAAGACTTGGAAAGTGTTGAAAATGGCGCGGTGAACAAGCATAACACTTTCTTAAATAAAGAAAGCTGAGAGAAGCAACGCACGACATCTGCAATCACGGACCGATCCGATCCGAAGTTTTCAAGGGTATTTCTTCGAAATGATGAAGCTCCAGCCATCTTGGATACTGCCTCGCCATATGACTAAATCGGGCTAACACCTATTTAAGATCAGGATGGAGCTAAGAGGATACTGGATCCAAACTACTGTGGGCGTACCACAGAAGGTTCTTTCATCCACCGAGATTTGCTTTGGACTTAAAAACAGGATCCATAGCCCTAATTGACTCCGGCGTTCATAACGACGAAAGGAAGTCGGTAAAGACGGCATCAACCTCCGCCCAAGTGGGCACGAGTATAGAACTTTCCCCACACTCCAAAGAGATATGAGTATAAACTGCTCTCGATATCGCACTGGAGTACAATGTAACCCGTTTCGAAATGAAACTGGGGTGGATGATTTATATAACGGGAATGTTCCTGGGAGAATCTTGATATTCTTAAGGATAACCCGACTGTCGGACTGAGATAAACGTAATCTGGTTACACAAGAACTGATAGTTGTTATGTAACGAAGCTGTGGTGGATATTCATGTAAGGGAAGTTCCACGGAAGAATGTTAAATGTAATATTCTTAGGGATAACCCGATGCATTATGAACAAGTGATAAACCTAACTCTATATATGAATATCGAATACTCTTTTGGCTGAGATGAGATTCGATTACCTCTTTAGATTAATCTTCCCTCATAAAATCCATTTTGGTCAAACCTTTAAAGAGTTATGGAGACCAAAGGCTTAAAATTCGACGCTCTCGAATTCCTTCCAATGAAGCGGAAGAGGTTTCAGGAGAATATTGAGCGATCAAACGGGACGTTTAAAAGCAGTTAGAATCGTGCTAAATTCCCATCTGGTCAACGCTTTAAACAGTGGCCAAAACCAAAACCCCTCACTCGATTTCGTTACCAGAACGAGGTCCACAATTGAACGATCAAACCTTTAAACAGTTAGGATCGCTCAAATTCCCATCTGGTCAACCTTTAAAGCAGTTAGGACCCAAAGCAAATCCCCTCTCGATTCGTTTCCAGAACAGAGGTCGCAAGCAAATTGACGATCAATGACCTTTAAACAGTTAGGATCGCTCTCTGAAATTCCCATCGTTTTTTTTCGTATTGTTGGTCAAAGCCTTTAAACGCAGTTAGAGACCAAAACGACAAAATCCACTCTCAGATTCGTTCCATGAACGAGGAGGTCCATCAAATTGTGAAGCGATCAACACTTTAAACAGTTAGGATCGTCCAAATTCCCATCTTGGTCAAACCTTTAACAGTTAGGACCGAACCAAAAATCCCCTCTGTCGATTTCGTTCCATGACGAGAGGTCCACAAAATTGAACGATCAACACTTAACAGTTAGGATGTCTCAAATCCTCTTGGTCAAACTTTAAACAGTAGGACCACAAACCAAATCCCTCTCGATTCCGTTCCATGACAGAGGTCCACAATTAAACGATTCAAACTTTAAACAGTTAGGATAAATCGTCTCAATTTCCCATCTGGTCAAACCTTTAAACAGTTGGGCACAAGACAAAATCTCCTCTCGAAGTTCCTCCATGAACGAGAAGGTCAACAAAACGAACGATCAAAACTTTAAACAGTTAGATCGTCTCAAAACTCAATTGGTCAGTACTTACTAGCAGTTAGGACGCAACAGCCAAAGTCTCTTTCGATTCCTTCGCCGAACGAGAGGTCCACTTTTAAGTTGAATCAGGTCAAACCTTATGACAGTTAGGATTATTCAAACAATCTAGATTTCTCTAAGTTGAAGTCTCGCACTTTGAGTTTCTTTTGCACCAGGAGATAGAAATAAAATTCCCTTCCTCTCTCGATTTTCGGGTTCATACTCTAGCAACAAAACAAGAGACCGAGGAGATAGAAATATAAAATTCTTCCTCTCCGATTTTGGGTTTACTCTACCCAACAAACAAGAGCAGCAGGGAGATAGAATATAAAATTCTTGTCTCCGCCATCATCGGGATTCGTCTCTTACCAATCAAAAAGAGAACCAGAATACTCCAATAGGAGACCGAGTCTAAAACTATTTCAGCTAATCTCAACAGGAATTTCCGAGAAAGATATTACTCAAACATATTCTTAAGAAATAACTGATTTAAACACCCGAAGGCTATATGAGGGTTAAACTGTTCCCGAACTACTCACACTAGAGCATATGAAGTAATAAACTATTTCTCCATTCTTCTTCACAACAGTTCGTGATTCAAGACTTCGAACAGACGCCAAGCGATAGACGCAGCACCGGAAGAATCTTAGGCTATTCTACAAAGCACTGAATAAGCTAAAGGAAGTCAAGGCATTGAAGCCATTCACAGACCATCTAACGCTAATGTTCCTCACAAAACACTGGAGAAATCGTGCGCAGGAGAAGTTATCATATTCCAAGTGACCCCAGCCCCTCTCCTAAAAATGATGAGTCTGAGATACTTTGGAGGGGATATCTGTAAGGCGTCAAAAAAGTGCTTACAGACATCCTAACACCACTCAAGACACATAGAGAAGATATCACGTCGATCAGGCAACACTGCCGCGCGGCAGGACATGGTGCGCGGCTAAGGCGCGGACAGCATATGACGCTGCGGCTTAGGCGCTGCAGTCAATAGGTGCCGCGTGCTTTAGCGCGACAGCTTGTCGTGTCGCGGCTTGGGCGCTGCAATCTAGGGTGCCGCGGCTATGTTAAAGGAGTGTTGCAGCAGTTACGAAACAGTTATATGATGATTTTTGAGGCCCACGTGGCAGCATACCAGAAACAGAACGTGTGCTGACGTGTACAAGCAGTTAAACCACGAAAAAGGTGGTTAAAGGTCGTGGGAGAACTGTTTCAAACACGTATGAACGTGGGTGTAACTGCCCCTTTAGCCGCGGCAGTGTCGACTGCCGCGCTCTTTGGCCGCGACAGTGTCGACTGTCGCGCCCTTTAGCCGCGACAGCATCAACTGCCGCGCCTAAAGAGGCAGTTGTTGATCGGCTATCTCTTCAGTTATCGTCTAAGGAGGCTATAAATACCCCCCTATGGCCATCATTGACGGGGGCTGAGCATTTTCCAGAGAGATTAGAGCAGAGAGCCTTGAGTTTTGGTGAATTAGAGCAAGAGAGAGAGTCTTCCTTCTTCACAAACATCCTCAAGAAGCTTCTGGCGAGTCCTAGAGATCTAAGCTCTGACTTGATCTTTAGAAGAGTGAACATCTTACATCGATAAGATATTCGCTTCAAATTCTTACTTCGATAAACGAAGGAAGAATCATTAAACCCCTCACGGTTCAATCAGAATCTGTGATTTGGTGGTCCACGAGTCAAAGCGCTCCCGGCACAGGCAAAGATCCCACGCAAGCAGCGATCCAAACAACGATCCTGCGTTTGTTTCTCAAGAGTTGTAATTTTCCTTTTGTTGTGTAAAAGAAGTCTTATAAAAAGACTATCTCTTTTGAATTTGTTGTAATCGACCGAAGATATAATGAATTCCATGACAAAACCAACTTTTGACGCAAACAGTGAAAGGTAGACAAAAAACATGAGCTTGAAGACTACAAGAAAAGGCAAGAGGATGAAGAATATGAAGAAAACACGATCCATGCAACCCTTTTAAAAAAGTTTGTATTGAATTCAGCAGAAGAAAATGACCATAAATGCAATGAAAGGCTCAAGGAAGAACCTACTCCTTAATTATATGCTTTTTTAAGGCAAACACTTCTTCCTAACAGCTTTATCATTAACTAAGCTTTATCATTAACTAAGTGCTAAATGGTAACTTGTCATTAGCAGTAAATTATTATTATTATTATTATTCGCATGGCAACATACAGTTTCCATGTGCCAAATAAAAACATCCAAGATTATCACAACATAAATCTCTCCAATATGCAAAACACAGATAGGTACATAGAATATTACTGCTTAAGAACATGGAAAATTGGAAGTGAGATTCGTTGGTAACTAGTTGGAACAATAAATACATTTATCTAGCAAATAGCATCAACTTTATAGGAGTGAGAAGTTACTTAAGTTGCTGTGTATGCATGTATATATCTTACATATGCAAAGTAGAATAAGATACTAATAACATTAACCTAAAAGCACTTCTCATTGTTAGCAAATACTTCTATTTTCACTATTTTTCCCCCACTAAACTGGTATTTTTAATGGTTATTCAAGAAAAGCTATCTCATCATTCGCCTCCTTTTCTGCTCTTCCCAGCAACAACAACACCAACGAAAATTGCTTCTTTCCTCCAGTTTCATTGCTTTGAAAGGGCTGTTAGTAGGAAATGAAAGATCGTCGAAGATTCACAATCTCGATTCAATTATTCCAAAATCGCTAGTGCTCCAATTTAAGCATTTGCTTCGTCCTCTTAACACTACTAAATGTTGCAATTTACCTCAAATTAGATACAACTTTCTTTGTTAACTCTTACAACGTTTTTCACATAAATCTTTTTTTCTTCCCCCACAAAGTAAACATAAGCAAAATTAGAACTTTAAGAAGTCTAGATACCTGGTAACATTAGGGTTAGGGTTACCATACTATTCAGTGACGTCCTCGAGAACCATGTTGACGTAGACGTCGAATCCCTTCAGGGTTCCAACGAGCTCCTTGTCTCCCTTCATTATCACCCATATCTTCGACCCAATGCACCGATCAATCAGCTCTAACAAAAATCAGAAGGAAAAAAGAAACGATTTTTTACTGTGGAAAGAGAGATGAATTACCTGAAGGCAAGAGTTGAGATGGGTTATGAGACATCTTCAAAATTTGAGGTTGCAGCAATTGAAACTGAGACTGAGTTTGTAGGGTTTTGCCCTTCCCCTGCTTTCTCTTTTTCTTTTTCTTTTTCCTTTTTATTTTTTTGGGAAAACCCCAAATATAGTGTTTGGGTCTGGTATCGTTCAACCCGGAACGATATCCACAGCCTATGGGCTTTGATTGATTGTGGGCCTCTTCTCGAAACCAAAGTACCGTACATTTCCAACGCAGGCCATAATTTTATTATTGTTTCAGAAGTTGAAAGAAGAAAATAAAAAATTAGTTCTTAGATAAAATATTTTATCATTAACCTAGTTACGTGAATGCGCTTGCCGAAACTTACGAAGAACCAAACTCTATTATAAAAATTAACGATAGGTGAGGCGATTTGAACTTTTTAGATAAGGGGGGCTTCTTTGAAAAACAAAATACATATGAAGGAGGATTTTTGTTATAATTTCTTGGAATGCCCACAGTAAATTAATACCCACACAAAATTAATTTCGTAAAATATCCAAGGCCGTGCGTCAGGGGGCGTCTCAACCCAAGGAAAAATACACTCAGGGTTTTCCTCGTACTAGCTTTTGCGCTCGCTCCCTCTTCTCGACGAGGGTCTCTTCCTCTGCTATCACGATCAGGGTCTCTACCCCTTATATCTCGTTCCCTAGCTTTTGATATCTCCGTTTCTCTCTTCCTTTTTTTTTTTTCCTGCAACTGAGTTTCTGCAGAATCTTTTTGGGAATGCAAGTCAACTTGTTCAGATTTAGAGTGATCACCCATTTTCCTCAACTTCAGATATTTGTCAAGAATGAACTTTATCCTAGCATTCTTTGTAGAATTCTAATGAAAAAAACACAAATGCTTTTGTAAGCAGACAAAAACCAAGCACCTTCACTCGAAAAATAATAGCATATAGACTTGTGTTACCCTCGGAACTTGAGGCTGTGAGTTTGGTGTTTTAGTTTTGGACGAGAAAGAATCAATATTGCCTGGGTAAACTGAAATGTATTGTGCCTTTTGAAGAGAGCGCAAATGTGCGAGGACTCTTAAAATTTCATTGATCCCTTTCCAATGAGCATCGAATACTAACCAACCAGGAAGAGGAATTTGAAACCTGCACGCTGCTACATGTATAAGCCCGCATGCTACCACTTCACTCTTGAAGCAGACGCACAAGTTTGTCCACAAACAGTATAAAATAAAAAAGAGAACAAACCGAGATGGTGGTCATAAATGTTTTATCTATATTTGAAACTCAAAAGACATGAAAAATGAACAGCCTGCAAATTTATGCAATGTATTAATCTCTTAAGCTAATTGTGCAGGTCTAAGTCCATGCATATAAAAGTTTTAGAAAAGGTGCATTATTGTAAATTCCAGTTATAACTAGTTTGGAGTTTCTCTTAGGGGTGGTTATTCATTGGTGTAAATTTGGGGATAATGGAATAATTTTTGGAACAACACTTTTTGGTGTTATTCATTGGGTTGATGGTGTTGTATTCAACTTCATGGTGTTATTGGTTTGTTGGGATAATTATGGGACAAATACTCCACTTCCCATAAAATTACACCAACTATATAAAGACTGCTCAGCCCCTACCCTCAAAATTACCCCATATCGCTTCCTAGAACAAGAGGGGAACAAAATTACCCACTTCCAATCGCTCGCTCCTCCGTCGTCGTTCTCGAGCTTGATCGCCCACTCCTCCGTCGCCCCCTCGAAGAGATCCGACGCCAACATCGTCACCCTCAACGTCGTCGTTCTCGAGCTCGATAGCCCTAGCTGGGCCCACCTCTGTCGCCGTTCTCGAGCTCGATAGCCCTAGCTAGGATTTCCTCACTGTCATCTCCTCCGCCTCCTCTTCCTCCGCCTCCTCCGCCTCCTCCTTCGTCTCTCGAACCCAGATACGTGCCCTTTTCCCCCAACAGTCGGTATAAATGAAGTGAAGCGTGACAAGAAGATGAGGACGTGCATCTAGATTTGGATATTGGGTTTATAATTGGCCTTGTTTAAGTTAATAATAGGGAGTTGATTTACTTTGTCCCTTCCATTTACTTACAAATTTAGAAAAATATTAAGTTTATAGATGTGAAATGTGAATTCTTGGTCCATCTAATTATATAAAAAATATGTGTATCTACTGAGGACTAACAGCTAGATGTTTGGTGCTCCCTGCTCAATTGTTACAGTCTGAATATACGATTTTCTTTAAATTGGGACGAATTTAAGGTAAAATGGTTTTTGAGTGAAAGTGGAAGTTATAAGTGCTGAAGTTGTTTGTTATAAGTGATCCCTTTGTTATATGCTAAAGTTGTTTGTTATTATTGAACATAAATTATAAGTGCTGACATAGTAGACTTGAGCATTCAAACACCAATGTTTTTGCTATATTTGAACTCTTACATGTATATACTACATAAAGCTATAGTCTTTAAGCAAATAAATTTTGGTCATTATTGATATTTGCGTTGTAGGATAAATTTTGCTTCGGAAACTCAAAATGTGAAAGAGTACTCTCAAGTCTCAAGATGGTGAGAGGGCCAAAAAAGCTAGGTGTGACTATGTAATATGGTTAGAGCAAGAGAATAGAGAGCAACTAAGGCTTTTAGTGGAGGAGGTGAAGAATGACAACAAGATGGATAATGACAACTTCAAGTAATATATCATCACTCAAAATGTGTTTCCATTCATGAATGCTAAATTTGGAAGAACTTTTAAATTTGATCATGTAAAGAATAAGATCAAGAGTTGGAAGAGGAAGATTGAACCAATTGAATTACTATTGAGAAACAATTCCGGATTTGGTTGGGACCCAATATCTCAAAGAATTACTTGCTCCGTTGAGGTGTGGGAAAATTACAAATAGGTTAGATTACCCAAAGTTTCTAACTACATAATATATTGTTATGTTTGCTAATTACAAAAAAAGAAAAAATTAATTTGTTATCTTTGTTTTTTGATAGGCTCATCCTAATACATCAATGCTTAAAGATAAGTTGTTTGAAAATTTTAAGGATATGCAGATGGTGGTGGGTAGCCACTCAGCTAGTGAGATAGCAGCTGGAGGCTTAGGAAGTGAGGGTGTAGAGAGTGCGACATTACATAATGCATTGGGTGAGGGTATATTTGATGATGAGATTGGACTTGATGCTATGGGTGAAGTAGAACCTACCCAACCACCAGTAGATCCTCCACCACCTCCCCCTAATAGCACTCCAGGTCCTGCCACTCTCGTGGTTGAATCTGTACCATTGACCTCTAGCACTAGCAGAAATGTTCGTAGAGCACCTTCCCGCACCACCGCCTCTGCATTGTAAAATGGCGAGTGGAATTATAATTATAAGTAAGGCTTTACAAGAGTTAGTCACAGAGGTGAGGTTGTTGCGAAGCCGCAACCAACCGTGGGTCGAGGGAGTGGCTTCAATTCCAGAATTTACCGATGAAGAACGATTGACTGTCCTTAGTCAAAATATTTCCCAAGATGTGAAGGATATGTTTGTGAAGAACCGATGAAGAACGATTGACTGTCCTTAGTCAAAATATTTCCCAAGATGTGAAGGATATGTTTGTGAAGACGAATGATGATCAAAGGAGAAGGTTTATGATTTGGCGACTGACTGGAGTATTTCCAAATGACGACATTATTTTGAATGAAAATTACATTCATGATCATTGGAAGATCTCCATGACTCCCGTAATTCATCAGCCTTCCTCTGCCTGCAAGTTTGAGGCAAATATTTTAATTGGAGCATGTACATTTCATCCTCTAACCAGTAAATAATAAATCAGAAACCTATCTATCCAGGACAATATAATTTAGAAAGATGTAAATAGTTGGAGTGTGATTATTGTGCGGTTGCATTACTGTCGTAAACAATAAGTCATACACATGTGTACACTTTGCCACAGAAATTTTGGGATGACTTAAAACTACAGTGTGTGGTTATTGTCATTGGACCTTACGAAACAAATGTATCAGGCTTTCTCAGACTGCAAATGTGCTATCTATAACACATCATAATGGACCATATGAGCATACGTTGCTTACTAGATTACGAGAATAATACCTATCGTTGGCGAGATTGAGATTCCATGCTTTCAATCTCAGTTCGTAAGGGTTATCAAGTGTTTCAAGCTAGTGGGAGATACAGTTCTGAGGAAGTGCTAAATGGCAGACAAAGCCCAGTTCTGCTTACAAATATCATCTTGTCCTTATCAAGTCCTTCAATTTTTGGATATTTCTATTGCCAATAAAAAGAGAAGAGAAATGTAAGTAAGAAACTTATTCTTGAAATTGAGAGTTCTAATCTCAGAGACAACAAATTTCTTCGTGAACGAGCAAAGGAAATATCTGAAAACACAATATTATTAATCCTGAAGGGACAAAAAGGAAATGGAAGAAAGAGACAACCTTAGAGAACAAATCCAAAAGCTCTATTGGTAAATTATCTCTCCGACATTCCATTATGTGGAAGACAATCAGAGCTTGGCTTGCTTTTCTGAGTTTCTCCTCCAACTTCGACGCAAGCCAAATAGAGATAGTAGCAACCCTCTTAAAAAAATTAGAATTCAAAAAAATTAATATGTCAGACAAAATATAATGCACCAGATATTGACATAAGGTAATATTAAAGAATGATGCCTTGCAATAGAATCGGTGGAAGAGAACCTGTCCCTGGCCATGACAGCTCGAGGCCTTTAACAATCGAGTGACACAGGAAAATATTTTACAAGAGGTCGATCTCCTATCGTATCAAAAATAACATATGATTGAAAGTTAACTGTTAATATGATACTTAGTAGCTAAAAAGGATACAATCTCAGCAAAATGCCACTCTCCTGGATGAGTTCACACCTCTAGATCCGAAGCATCATTTCTGTGTGTTTGTCAATCCCATTTTTGTAAGAGGGTGAATGCCTGAGTTGTTCATCCATGAGGTAGAAGTTGTCAAAGACCGTGTAGGTCATTTTGACTTACGAAACTGGATTGATTCCTTTAATCATCCACTGCAAAATTGAACAAAAACCCCCATTATCTTCATGAGTCCAAGTGCTTGAAACAATAATATAATCGAATTATTAGGAAGGTGTTCTTGAAACCAACATAAACGAACATAGCAAATATTGATGCGAAACTTTGCATCAATAAGTACAGTATTCACAACAATTGCATCAATTAATAGTTCATGCAAATGATAAAGCATAACTAACTCTCTCAAAAACTACCTCCATAAAAATCTCAAGATTTTAACCATGGATTCCTGTTTATCAATTTTCATTGCCGTATTAGTTCGCTAGTATGGAACCTAGTTTTGCAAGGTCATGAAGAGCATCCTGCGTACAGATGGATGCCAATTTGGATGAGAAGATGAGAAAACCAACAACAATCGAGAGCAACCCACAGAATACAAAGTTAACACTTTACAACAATGTTCAATTTTCTTACTAGGCTAAACTTCATCCGAATTGTGTTGCATGATGTATATAGGGATCAATCAAATACCACAAACTATTCAAATATAAACATAAACATTTCGCAACTATAAGAAGAAGGGCTTTTGAGATATTGGTCTTCCAAGTCTCATCTATTGTGAAGTATGTCCCACAAATCTTCATATTTTTTTAAATAAGTCACCTAAATCCTTTCAGTTGTTTGAAATAGTTTTCATAGTACAATATCTTTTGATTACCCCAACTACAAAATAACTGGGCTATTAGATTTTGTTTTTTAAGGTTCTACTCTTGTCTTGAACCCAACCTCTCTTATAAACCCATTAAAGCCAATCTTAGCTTGCTAAAATTGAAATTCATTACAAAAGCCAATAAAAAGAAAGTCAAGAAACACGAAAACTATTAGCTTATAGATTGGAGGGAGTTTAAAATTTTTAGCAAGCAAAGGCTTGACTTTGGATGGGTTTAAAACAGAGTTTAGTG